TTCTTCTAAATTCTTATTATATGCTATCTTACCATCAATATCTAAATTTTTATCAATAAACTTATTTATAACTTCTTTTTCATTTAATTCTACTTGTTTAATTTCTGAATTACTTTCTATTTTTGATTCTTCATTTTTACTTTCTATTTTTGATTCTTTTATTACATTTACATTATTATTTTCTATTTTTGATTCTTCAATTATATTTTGATTTTTACTAATTTTTTCATTATCATTTAATTCTACCTGTTTAATTTCTGTATTACTTTCTTTTATTACATTTTTATCATTATTAATTTTTTCCTTATTTTGATATTTCTCAATCATTTTAAAAATAATTGCCTCTGATGAATTTTCAAATAAAATTTCATGTATTCTAGTTAAAATTGGTGATTTTCTCACTATCGAATCATACATTACAAATTTATCGTGACACTGTGGAATATTATTTACATAACCCTTCATCATTGCTGCTATCTTTAACTTATATACTATCAGTGATTTAATCATTGATTCACAATCAACTGCATGCTCTGTTTCAAGTCAACTGGCTGGTTTATATACTTGAAAATATAGTATGCTCTTCCTTCAATCTTATTGATAAAATACTCAATATCTTTAACATTGAAGCTTAATGACTTTGCTATTTCTTTTATAATACTGATCATCCCTGACATCTTTATGTTAAAAGGGGTTAATATTTTTATATACTACCTCATAAATTTGGAGGGAATAGGGCGTGCATAACATTTTTATATTTACATAAAAACTTTTTTATTCATTTTCTTTACTATAAACATACTTTTTAAAAAATATTAAAAAATTAAAATTTCTTTATTATAAATTTTGTATGAAATTTAATAATTGCATTGTATTTTTATTTGAAAATCTTAATTTCATTTATTTTATATAAAAAAATATCAAAAATTTAGTTTATTAAAAACATATTTAACTATTAATTAAATTTATAACTAATTTACTTTTATATTATTAACAAAGATAAATGTAAAATTTAAACCAGTTATATATTTTTTTGAAAAAGAAAAACTTTGTTTCCATTTTAACAGTATTTATTTACAATATTTTTAGTATAAAACAAAAACATATTAATTTAGAGAAGTTATCTTTCTATTTGATTAAAAATTTAAAAACTTTTTGATAACTAATATAAAATCATTTATAATATTTTAATCGAAGTATAATACAAAAATTATAGTTTTTAATAATTTTTTGTTAAATAACACAAAAAATATATATTTATTTAAATTAAAAAATATAGATAGAATCAACTTAATGGTTTATTTAAAATAATTTAAAATTATTTTTTACCAAGTTAGTAAATTATTTAATAAATTTAACATTAAAACCAACTCTTAGATTATTATTATTTTTTCTACAAATATTACTGTCAAATCTCACATGATAAGTAGTATGTCGTTAATTTTGTTTAAATATTTATTATTGTAGTGATTATTAAAATACTGGTTTCGTATTGTAAATTATGTCTTTTAATGTTAATTTTTTTATATTAAACGAATAATTTTCTATAAAAAGAAATATTTTTTCTTGTGTTTTAAAGCAATTTAAATTTTAAAAAAGTCACTCGAAACATGTTTTTTTCTTCTTTAATAAGTTTAAATATAAAAGTAGTAATTTCTTTGCATTTTATTTGATCTATTTATAAAATTATATTTTATAGTATTACATGTTTAACTATAAAATATAAAAGGATAAGTTAAAAATTAGCATTTAATATCGATAGTATTATAGATGATGATTTTTAATTTCTAAATATTTATTTAATTTCTAAGTTTTTTTCATTTATTTAAAGTATAAAAAAATTATTTTTTTTGCTAAACTATAATACTTAAAATTTTTAATTAAATAAGATTTAATCG